CTTTTTTTTATAGACCTAATAGTTTTTAATGATATAAACGGGTGTATTTTAAAGTTAACAACAATGCCTCCTTTCTAAAGATCTTATATTCCTATACAAACTATATTATTTGTAATAAAGAGTTGTTTGTAAACGATTCGATAAAAATGAATAATTGTTCTTGATGAGTTATGAACGAGTTGTTTATTATAATCGAGTAAATAAGTGAAAACCAATGGCCCGATGTGGCTTGTCGAATCAGTTGAAAAGGATCTTAAATGAATAAGGAAATGTGCATATTGCTTCTGTTGGGTTCTGTACGTTAATTAAAAATCAATTTTAATTTAATTTAATGAAGAAAATTATCTAAATAAAATATTACTTGTTATCAGTGTTGGACTGGACCCGAAGAATTATATATCAAATATAAGCCCAAACGTATAAATTTCCCGCCGGATGGCCGAGAAGGTTAAGGCGTCAGCTTACCGTTCTGTGAAGGATCTTGGATCGAATCCGGGCGGTTCCGTACATTACCAATACGGGTCCTGTAGTGGCAGTATACGGCTCAAGTCGGAATCGGTTGTTTTCGAATTAAAAGTTACAAAATGTACACATTATGGTAGACCCAACGTCGGTTCGCGTGGACTGTTCCACGCCAACCCACGTAAAAATCAAAATCGGGACCAGTTATTTTTAAATTTCATGTAATAGACCGCAATTGCAGGGGCGTTTCAAAAAAGTTGGTATTGGGGGCGCAAGAGCTCAGTTTTTTCGACTACCCCAAAACTCAACAATCCCAAAAATTTGTAATTTAAGCAAATTTGCATATTTTAAAAAAGGCTAAGCGACACATGCTATTTATTTATCAATCTTTATTCAAGAAATTTTTATTATTTTGATCGAGTTTTTTTTAAATAAAGTACTTTGCAAAAATAATAGATTCTCTGTGCAGCTCAATTTTTTGGGCTGCAATTTTCAAAAATTGTAGACCTATAAATTCCTACTAGCATCCGTCTGTCAGTCTGCCCTTCCTTAATCTCGAGAACGGAATTGGATAGATGAAAGTCGAGACCAGATATGGAAAGCTTAAGGAAAGAAGGCTCCAACTGTACTAACTATATAGGAACTTCCAGTTTTGATCGAAAGTCACGTTATTTCAATTCAAAAATTTTTTCCTGAAGGGAGTTAGATGAAAGTCGACTCCATTATTAATAGGAAAAGTATGATGTACTGTACAGGAGTAAGGCACTACTAAAATTGAGAGCATTATGACGATGAAACAATAACTACAGTTCGTGCAGCGAAAGAATAGACACGAATCAATCTGAGCTGGAAGGGGCCATGTGAAAGTTGACACATCTTTTAGCTTTTTTTTTTACATTTTAAAAGCGTTTTTGTACTATCTCTATCATAATTTTAATGTTTTACTTTTTTTAAATGCAAATTTTACTTCTATGATTGTATTAACTCCTACATGTCTCCTTATACCCCTTTCATCTGACATAGACCCTTTCCGCTCAGACTGACTCATGTCTACTCTTTCACTGCACGGACTGTAGTGTACAAGCGAATGTGTAAATGACTTATTTCATTTATAAAGTCGATACATTAAAAAATAGTCAATTTAATCCATCTATCCATAACAATATAACTGGTGCAATTCCAAAAATGTTAAAATTTATACTGTAACTTTTATTTGAGATTTCAAAATGCAGCAATTATAGGCATTATCAGGTTCACTGGTGGATCCAGAAGAATCCAAAGGCGGGGTTAAACTCGAAAATGAAAAATATTTGAATAATTATAAATACCTTTTATTAATACGTGCAAGATGATTGTATTGCAGACCTTCCGATAAACCATATTTGCCATAGCGAATTTAAAAAAAAAAACAAATAATAAATAAATTTGTAAAAACAAATAAATTTTAATTTTTTGTATTAGTGGGGAGGGGTTTCAATTCTTTCTTCTCTATGAGCACTAAGAGGATCTTTTTACCAAGTTCTTTGTGGGTTCTCTCACCACCTATACGCCCAATTTTGGGCCTGGTCCACAATGGAGGATGCAGATGGTGAAGGACAGGGCCTGATAAAACAGAAGATAGATCACTTCCCGGAAAATTCCTGGGGATTTTCGACCTGTCCGGATTCGATCCCTCGTCTCCAAAGCGGTATGATGCCACCTTAACCGCTCAGCCATCTGGCGTTCAATGGGGAGTGTTTAAGCTTCTGTAGCCCCTCAGATCCGTCCTTGGTAAGGTCACTTATGCCGCAGTAATGTTTAGTAAATTCCAGTTTGATTTGTTTTTCTATACTTTTTCAAATAAAATTACCGTACAGGGTGGGAAAGTCACTTAATACCCTGCTACAGAATATAAAATGTATCCAAAGAATGTACAGTACTGTACATTGAGCACATCATGTAACGTGCATAACTCTGTAACCGTTTGAGGTAGATCAATAAAATCTTTCAGCAATCAATACCTTGAAAAATTCTACCCTAAATGATGTGTCACGTGATCCCCTTCCCACTTACAGTTTTGGAGTTACATTCAATATGGCCGCCATCAAGATGGCGGCCGTGCGTATAACACACATCAATCTGTTTCCCCCTTGGTCTAATTGTTCCTGACATGTGTGAATTAACGTTGAGTACATTCTATATCCTGTAGCAGGGGTGTTAAGTGACTTTCTTTCCAACTCTATATTAATAAGATCATAAAATTCTTCCTAAAGATTATTGGTAATATTTATCAGCAAAATAGGACTTTCATATATATTTTTAAATATAATAATAGAATGATAATTTGCAAATTTACATTATACTAGTTAATCTATATCTAATTTTCTCACGTTTATACAAATAGAATTTTTATAAATTGAATTATAAGTTGCAAATGCATGTAATAAAGTGATACTCCACTTTATTATATTTTAACCAGTTATAACAAACATTATTACTGTTAACTTATGATTAAAAAAATTACTCTCTAAGTCTAAATGCAGTACATATAAATAGAAAACCAATAGCATTATTATATGTATCACTAAGTGAAGCTCAATCGTATCACTTTGAAAAGACTCGAGTCTCAATAACGTAGACAAGTACTTTAAGCTCTTGCATTCATATTCAAATTTTATTTTGAAACTAGTCTAATCCTACTACAGCAAAGAAAAATCATCATTCGTTTCCATCATCTATCCGTGTTTTAAGATTATTAACAAGTTGTTTATATATATAAATAATATATTCTTATGAATTGTGTTGTATGAAAAAATTAAACGATGCTAAAAAATTTAACTATACAAGGTATTATTTATTATATTATTGTACAGGTAACAAAATATATTTATAAATACGGATATGAGAGTGGTGGGTTCATGAATTGTACTGCGACATGTTCGTTATTTTCATAATATAATAATTATTCTTTCACTACAAAATGATAGATATTTAAGGATAGAAAATCGTTATAAAGTGAAATAAAACAATTCCTAACTAGGGAGATCTTATTCATATAACAGTTTACACATTTGGAATTTGGTGTTATTTTTTTAAGATAATAAATTAATTTATTTTTTGATTTAAAAAAACAAATGTTAAATATCAATAAAATGTCTAAATTTCGTNGTTCGAAATGATCTTTAAATATGCTCGATAATAATAATAAAAGGCTAGAAAACATCAATTTCAGAAATTGAAAATTTTAACTAATTACTTTTTTAAAAAAAAAGTATGTTATTCATTTTAAAATTTAAAATTTTTGTACGGCGTACATATTTACATATTTGTACAAATTCTGTAAGCGAATATAAAATTTTCCTATAACTGTTTGAAACAAAAACAATAAATGTCATTAAATGCAATTATATGTTCATATAGATAACCTGATAAATGACATTTTCGCACTTATATATATATATATATACGTACTGTACTGTATATACATACACAAAAAGGGAGAAATCTACTTGAAAGATTACCCGATCCTCCTTTGTAACGTATCTTTATAAGAGATTCCTTTATAAATGTTGGGATAAACTAGAATTTTTAAGATTTTTTGCATTCTTCATCTATCAATATACTTTTGTGCAGAGAGTAATTTAAACAAGACAACTTACTTTGATTATGTACAGTACGTACAGTACAGTACACTTTGATGATTATACTAATTATTTTACACATTCTGCTAGAACGATCGCTTCAATTTACAACTCAGAATTTTTGCAACAAATAATTTACGTTATTGTATGGTCTTGTGATAAAGACATATCTATCATATGTCTTTATCATAAGACAGCTTGGCCCTTGATATGTTTATATCTATTTTATATGTATGCTTGACAGAATCATAAGAATTCTCTCAACATGCCACCCTGTAACTAGTTATTATTTACCACATAACTACTTACTACTCCTTTTATACAAAATAAAAGTTGAAGCAAATTTCCTCTACAGGAAATATTTTTTTACTTAATAATTATATTGTATTTTTTTAAAGACTTTTAGTGATACAATGAGCTGGCTGACAGTCATTTGGATTCATATCAATAGTTCCTCATACCGACATTTGTTGCGCTTTGTCAAATTATTCATTCTTATAATGTTAACAGTAGAGTTTAGTTAGTACTGTCTGAAGCATTGCCGAGTGATTTGGTTCGTTATCCTCCAAAAATAAAAAGCTATGGATTCGTGTTTCAAATATCAAAATTAGCCAAGCTTTTTATTTGTTGAAGAAAATCTATAATAGTTAATTAAAACGCCTTGTGTCTTGACTCATTTGCTAGAATATTAATCAGAAATGATGATGAAGCTATTTATTACGGAGGGAGTTAATAAATTTTCATAAATAAGTTCTCGTACGATTCGCTGCCAAATGCATAAGGCAAAGTAAGTAGTCAGCAGTTGGATCGTTGAACGTCCCGTTTCGAATGAGGCAGTCAGTAAACTCGACTTCAATCGCCATTTAACTGGTATCATCGCGAGCCCCGGACATATAAGGCATACCCTTCTCACAGATTGGATTACCAACTCCACAGACGAAATTATTCACATACTTACCATTCGTACGGTTATTTTGGGGGTTGAGCGGTGGCTGGCAGTGCTAAGGTACAGTCGCTGAAGGTGATTACCTCCTATAGGGACAGTGCCTGGTTTTGACCAGCTGCTCAAAGGTAAGGGCTCCTCCCACGGGACGAAGGGGTGCGGATTTGGCTCGAATTAATGCGGATTAATGTTGGCACTGCATGAGGCTCTCGAGATGACTTTACGTTCGGCTTATGTCGCATCCTTTTCTTACGGCTCTTTAACCATTTAATTTACGCTTAATGATAATTATTAATATCTTAAAATAACTTTTTGAATGCTAACTTTGTAATAAGTTAAACCGTTTCTAATTTAATTGAATAGTGTAATAAAATGAATGATATTTACCGTTTGTGTGTCTGTTCTTTATTATATTAATAATTGTAATATTTTTAAAAAATAATTAACTTTTTTAACAGAAAAATTAAAAGTAGGTTAGTGTTGTTAAAAAGGAACATCGTCCAGACACCGTTAAAGTTATTTTTGTCGAGTTGCTAAACTTAGTTTTGTGATTTAAAAAATTTCTTCTATTGTAATGTTTGGAAGTGCCAATATTATTACCTTCTCCTCATGTTTGCTTGCTAAATTTAACTTTCATCATTTGTTACGTTATTAATAATGCTTAAAATTAACCTAAGCCAGATCTAATTTTTTAAAATCTGTGTAAGTAAATTTAATTACTTTAAAAAAATATATGAAATTCTATTTTAGTGCTTCATAAGGTTTCCGACCCGTTAAAAAAATTGAGTATTAGCATAGTTCTTTTTTTTAAATCAAGGGTTAATGCTCGACACCACGCTTTAACCGAAGCTATTGTCTTATTGAAAATACCAGAAACTTTTAAAAGACAATTGAGAGCAGAGACAAAGAAGAATTTCTAGATGAGTAACTGGGTTAAACGACATTAGAATGTTATCAAAGCATTCCAAAGGATTTGCAATTATATAGTGAATAAATATATAAACGCTTAGATGCATATTTTTAAAAATTATTTTGCATGCTAATTCGTGCTATAGACCTATATGTTCCATTTTTAATTCTTTACATTTGTAGCCTACATATTATGAATTGCTTACACTTTTTATACTTCAGGTGTATGATAGGCGTATATGATTATTCAAGTACAGTATAAATTCATATAAATAATTCTATACACGTACACTATATTTAAATTGGATATAGAATAGACAGAGGAATCAGGAATAGTTTATATACATAATGATTCATCAGTATGTAGTTGACACAAGTATGATTATGTCTTAGCAAAGACTATTCCAAGTACTTTATAGGATAATTGGAATAATTATTATTACCAAAGTCAATACAGTCTCATACAAAGAACGAAATAAAATGTGTTTCATGAAAAGTAATTGACAATACACTAAGATTATTTTCCCAAATTGTTATTCTGATGAGAAGTGAAGCCTGACTTCCCTTCGTAAAAAATTTTGAATTAGAGAATATAGCTTAAGCCATTCTAAATTTTTAATTATTTTATAAGAATACTTAATATCGAATATCGAACTTCTATATTAGTGAGGGCCAATTTTATTTCTCTAAGGTTTTATCAAGCCAGAATTGAGTATAAATACAGTGGGTGATCGGTTAACGAACATAAAGAATCTGTCTAATGTCGATTGCTTTTCTCTCTTTAGGATTTTTCGTAAGTAATTAATAGCATTGCAATTGTAGAAATCCCCAAGCCTCAACCTGGTTCGATGCCATTCTAAGACCGTTGTTCTGACATCCTCCCACTTCTTCAAAGGATCTTTAATAACAGAACAGATATCGGCATTAATTGTCTTTTTCAGAAGAAAACATATCTCGCCGAGTTTCTTTGTGTTCTTCATTCAAGAGTTCTTGGCGTTCTTCTGTCGTCTGATCCGTTTCAGGTTCCATTATGAACCCTTCGATGTTCTTTATTTCTCAGATGTGATTTTTGTTACTCCTTTAGCTGCTTGAGTCTTCTTGATTATACTGTATCTTTCTTAAATAAGATTGAACTGCAACCTACTGTAGACCTGTTCACGCCATACTGCCCAGCAACATTAGGCATCTTCTGCCCACTCTCTACCTTTGCTATTATACTCTCACCTTTCGAAAAGAAAAACAGACGCAAAACTTAACGCGTGCCTACCCGACAGTCTCGCGAATACATGAAAGAATTGTTTTGTTAGAAAATTAAAAAGCTGGAGTTACAAGGGAAAGTTTCAAAGTTCGGAGGAATACTATCCGATCTGTATATACCGGCTTGAGCGTCGATGTCGATGTCTCCCACACTCCGAAAAGTTTCGAATTGTTACCTGAAGACAAGGGTAAATCAATCGGTATTCATTATTTTACGTCGCTTCTTCTTGTGTTTATTCTGTGGGGTGTTCGTTGTCCGAACACAAAAATCTTTCGCGAAAGTGTTCGTTATTCGATCTGTTCGTTAACCGATCACCCACTGTATTAAAAGATAAAACGTAGGCTAATATTACCTCTATATAAATCGTATTAGATTGACTCCCAAATGAAACTAAATCTTATAAGAATATATTGTGTATAATGAAACTTAGGTGTGCAAAGAAAGGAAAAAAAAAACAGATTTTAATATGTTGTTTCTTCTAAATGTATGTACATAAAATTTGTGTGAACATATTAATTTTTTTACAACATAAAACTCTACTGTAATAAATATTTATAATAATTAAAAACTAATAACTAATTAATTAAAAATGAAAGTTTGTAGCCGAATTTGTTGAGCCACAAGTTCTTCTATGTGCATTAATAAATATGAAATATTTTGAATAATTTTTTAAAGATGTTCACAGGCCACAAAACTTCCTTCGCGATCCGGATGCAGCCAGTTGGACAGCCTTATTCTAGCCAACACACGATATATATTGATATTTCCGTAAAAAGCTTTAAAGTTTCATATTCCACCTTAAAATTTTTCTGACCTTTAACCTTCCGCTTTTAAACAATAAAATGTATTTAAAAGATATAGGTTCATTGCCAAATTCTTTCGTCAGCCACCTTTCAGTAAACAAGAGTAACAATCTGTTGGAATGTATACCATTCTAATTGTTCTTGACTAATCCAATTGTTTTGCTATCTCAATTTTCGTAAAGTTTACTACGAGTTGAAATAACAATTATTCACATGTAAAAAAGTATTTTTTTAACTTTTTTTTTTTGTTGTTGTAATGGATTTCTTCGAATTGGATATAACAGTATGAATTTTTATGTTTTAAATTTAAAAATTATTTTGTGAATTTTCACTTTTTGTCTTTTTTTTTTATTTATTTTAATGTTGCATCCGCTGTAATCTGTGTAAGTAAATTTAATTACTTTAAAAAAATATATGAAATTCTATTTTAGTGCTTCATAAGGTTTCCGACCCGTTAAAAAAATTGAGTATTAGCATAGTTCTTTTTTTTAAATCAAGGGTTAATGCTCGACACCACGCTTTAACCGAAGCTATTGTCTTATTGAAAATACCAGAAACTTTTAAAAGACAATTGAGAGCAGAGACAAAGAAGAATTTCTAGATGAGTAACTGGGTTAAACGACATTAGAATGTTATCAAAGCATTCCAAAGGATTTGCAATTATATAGTGAATAAATATATAAACGCTTAGATGCATATTTTTAAAAATTATTTTGCATGCTAATTCGTGCTATAGACCTATATGTTCCATTTTTAATTCTTTACATTTGTAGCCTACATATTATGAATTGCTTACACTTTTTATACTTCAGGTGTATGATAGGCGTATATGATTATTCAAGTACAGTATAAATTCATATAAATAATTCTATACACGTACACTATATTTAAATTGGATATAGAATAGACAGAGGAATCAGGAATAGTTTATATACATAATGATTCATCAGTATGTAGTTGACACAAGTATGATTATGTCTTAGCAAAGACTATTCCAAGTACTTTATAGGATAATTGGAATAATTATTATTACCAAAGTCAATACAGTCTCATACAAAGAACGAAATAAAATGTGTTTCATGAAAAGTAATTGACAATACACTAAGATTATTTTCCCAAATTGTTATTCTGATGAGAAGTGAAGCCTGACTTCCCTTCGTAAAAAATTTTGAATTAGAGAATATAGCTTAAGCCATTCTAAATTTTTAATTATTTTATAAGAATACTTAATATCGAATATCGAACTTCTATATTAGTGAGGGCCAATTTTATTTCTCTAAGGTTTTATCAAGCCAGAATTGAGTATAAATACAGTGGGTGATCGGTTAACGAACATAAAGAATCTGTCTAATGTCGATTGCTTTTCTCTCTTTAGGATTTTTCGTAAGTAATTAATAGCATTGCAATTGTAGAAATCCCCAAGCCTCAACCTGGTTCGATGCCATTCTAAGACCGTTGTTCTGACATCCTCCCACTTCTTCAAAGGATCTTTAATAACAGAACAGATATCGGCATTAATTGTCTTTTTCAGAAGAAAACATATCTCGCCGAGTTTCTTTGTGTTCTTCATTCAAGAGTTCTTGGCGTTCTTCTGTCGTCTGATCCGTTTCAGGTTCCATTATGANAACTATACGTTCAGAAATTACTCATTCTGGCAATAGGATAACTAAGTCACTGTAATGTGCATTCATTAATTATAAACTCGTACAGAATTAGCAACAGAGGTAACAAGAGTTAAAAGTCTTGCCAAAGATTGACTGAATTGAAAGCTTTGTTTCTGAACTGCAAGAACTTTTACATAAATAGATACACGATCTGTTACAAGAAATGTCATCTAGATATCTTAAATAAGTTTCCATCTAAGCATATGTCGAAATAAAAATTAAAACAATTAAAATTTGTGGAATACGATACTAGATTTTATATAGGCTACAGTAAATCCTGAATTTAATGGAGTAATTGGGAGAAGAGGGTGTCCTCTATTGCCGAAGTTCGTTAAATCGAATGTATTTTAAAAATATATACAGTAAAATCTCACTTACGTGGCCACCTTCGGGATATACGATTTCTGGTCACATAAGTGAGATGGTCACTTAAGTGGGGTTATGACATATAGAACTGTAATGAGAGTCCTTTTAAATGTTTGATACGTATTCGGCAAACTGTTCCAAAACTATACCAACAAAGCTTTAATTCTGTTTAAAGCCTTTAAACAATAGGTTGAATTTAGGAATGCGGGATTTTCCTGTTCTGTTGGCCACGTAAGTGGAGATAAATGTCACGTTAGGATACTTTTATCTTTGCTACCAAGATAATTTATATTAAACCTTATGCAGTTTTAAAGGGGAATTTTGTGGGTTGTTCCATATGTGAAATGTCCACGTAACTGAGGCGGCTATAAAGCGAAATCTTACTGTATGAACATAATAGTAATATAATAATGAACATATAGGGTGTATTAAAATATTGTTAAATCGAGATCTTACTGTATTTATAAGTAGGGCATAACTTTTTCTTAAAAATGAATTCGAAATATACCAATCTGGGGAACTCGGGATGGAATCTGAAAGAGTAATCCCAGGAATTTTTTGGAGGTAGTCTAGTCTTCCCCCGAAACATTGGGCCTCGTTCCTCACTACCCGATAGCCTCATGTCAGCCTGAGAGGACTCACGATGGGCCCAACAAAAAGTCTTCTTAGTACTCATGGACGAGAGAGCAAAAATGGAATATGTATATTTTTGTGAAATAGGTTAATGTTTTTAATACTTAATGCAGTATATTAGTACTCATAAAGTTTATACAGTGCATACTTCGTTATTCCATGATTTATATATATTTTTATATGAATATAATATCCAGATCAACATTTCAGTTCGCACTATAGAGAAAATGTTCCAACACTCTTATCATATTCACCATCATGAAATAAAATTATTATCAATATATAATATTGATATAATGATTACAATTACTTTTACAAAAAGTTTGCTTTTGAATTAAGCTTTTATGAATTAATGTGAATTGTTTCGTGTCTGTTAATCTCTTCTTTAGGCTACTTGTAAAACATGGAGTCAAGAGTTTTTTCATTCTTCATCCATGCTGGTCGATTACACCGCATATCAGTCCTCGCCTAATGGATAAAATTGGGTATATTCGGAAAATGAGCGCTGACGTTTGAGCGGTCACGTGATCGCTCAGAAAGCTGGCATCCGAATACTTGAACATTTTGTTTAGATGAGCTCTGTCTCATATTACATTATAATATTGCATTACGCCTCATCAAAAATGACGTTCAGTAGTATGCAGTGAGCACAGAATAGTAATAGAGGGAGCCTAAAGATTTCATAGTGAAAACACTAGCTGCCATATTGGAAATCTTAAAGTAGGATGAGCAATCATTTATTATCACGTAATCATAATGCCTGCCTGCAATTTTTCATTATAATGCTATTAATTTTAGTAGTGTCTTGCCCCTGTACATCGTACTTTTCCTGATAGCAACAGAGTCATGTCAGTCATCTATGTAACTCCGTTCTAGAAAAAGTTTTGAATTGAAATCACGTGACTTTCGGTCGAGCCCGGAAGTTTATATATAATTAATCGGGCCTTCTACCCTTAAGCTTTCCATATCAGATCTTGACTTCTATTTAACACTGTTCTCGAGATTAAGGAAGGACAACAGTGACAATATTTTCAAATTGTACCCCAATAAATTGCTAAGACAGCACCATTTCAACTTATATACTCTTATATACCTTAGGAAACACGATTTCTTTAAAAATTTCATTTACTAAATAATAACGTTTTATATAAATTTAAGGATATTTTTACTCGTGAATGATTTATTATTATAAACTAAACACATTTCGGCTATATATATATTATCTGTAAAATGTTCGTCCTCATTTTTTTATTTCCATTGTTATTAGTACAACCAAAAGCTATACAGTGTACAGTACCATTATACTTATAGAGAGACAGTAAAGCTCCATTACTATAGTGTTCGTTAGGTAGTATGACGAATGTCACATTTATATTGATTAAAGAGATGTTTTCGGATAGTTTAATAATATAATTAATACAACCTGTAATGGATGACGACGTGAATAAATCCATTGTACCAGTATTACGATTTTTAAAGAAAAAAAATTGTATTTTTTTTTTAAATAAATAAATAAATATTTATTAGAAAATAAGATAAAATTAAATTTTATTAATCAACAATATATTAGACTTTCCAAATGTTTATAAATAAGTTTTTATTATAAGAGGAATACTACAGATATGTATATAATATGCTTTGGTTTTCAAATCTACTATCCTCTCTTNGGATAGTTTAATAATATAATTAATACAACCTGTAATGGATGACGACGTGAATAAATCCATTGTACCAGTATTACGATTTTTAAAGAAAAAAAATTCAAAAATTATACTGCTATAATTAACTTATAAAATGCATTAGATTTCAATGAAATATAGAATGAAAAGAGAAACATTTGAAATGAACATCAGTGATAAAAATGATAAAAATACAATTAATAGTTAAATAGAAATGAGATTATTACATTACACATAACACAGTTTAATCCAATCCATGGAATCTGAATCATTTATATTGTACGAGTACTCATCCGGACAGTCTAATGAATTAAAAAATCATTTGAATGCATCTTTTGAATTCATCAATGCAGATTCTAAACTGGGTTTAAAAATGAACTGTTCAGTTTAAAATTTATATCGAAAATATAAAATATTTCCAAAATAAGATATTTTATTTAGGACATAAAACAAAGATCATTCAAATCTACTTTGCATTGCTCGAATATCCAATTTAATTATTAACATACTTAGAAATGAAATAAACTAACTTGTTAAATGCTATATTTTAAAAAATAAGATATGTGGATAACGTACTTTAACATTTTTCTTAATTTTATTTGCCTGTATTTTTCGATCCACTCGTTTATCGATGAATTTTTAAGAATGATCGTGCACTGAGCAGCAGTTCAAGTTTGTATGAGTAACAAATCATCATTCTAACTGAGTCGAACTATAACAAAATTTTGTGTCGTTCGACATTATTGTGAGATTGTTTTAGGTTTAAAATAGAACCTGTTTTTCTTTAATATTTCTTCTAGAAAACATGAAGCAAACAAAGGGAAACGCTTCTATTCGCTTGATTCAAGCCATTCTCTAGAAGAATTAATTACTATAAAATACGTATGAATTTTACAGAATATTAAGTATGTATTCAGTATTTTCACGTGTAAAAATTACAATTAACATCAAGAACACAACATTTATTTTTATACAAGAATGGAAGATAAAAAGAAAATCTATTACTTATTCATTGATATTAACCGATTCTATCCTATAACATCCTACCGTATCAAATTAGAATAAAACAATTTAAGTTATTGTTTTATTAAGTTATGCATCATATAAAATTTTTTAATGAAAAATTTCGAAACATTTTCAGGAATTCTTCTCTTTTGATGACTCGCCTCTCTCTGCAAGTGAAGACTTTAAATAATTAGTTACCCGCCCGAGTGCGGGTTTTTCTTCTTTCTTTTCTAATTTCCTCAAAATAACCGATATGGTGGTAAGTGAGGAAATTGCACCTACTTTTACCATCAAGCCTCAACTGAGGCAAGAAGACGATGGGAACAAGCTATGTTTCGAATGTCAGATGACATCGAATCCCAGACCGGAGATCACATGGTACCGTGGAGACGAACAATTATATGACGATCATCGAACCGTCATCAGGATCAAAGAAATTGGCGTTAACAAGTATAAGATTACTTTGGAACTTGATGACGTATTTGAGACTGATGCAGGATTGTATAAAGTGCTGGCAAAAAATAAACAAGGCGAAGTAGCCGCTTCTATCAATCTTAACTTCAGTCGTAAGTAAATGTTTATTTTATTAGTAATTTTAAACTTATCGAGTAGGGTTTGAGTTTACGTACAAAATTTTCCCGAAGATTTTTATGGATTTACATTCGCTTTAGTCTTACTCTGAAAAGTAAGGAGGATATGCCAATTGGCAAATCTTCTTTCTAATTTTAATTAAATTCAAACTTAACCGATTCGAATTAATAAGTCAATTAACTGTAATGAGATTTCAACAAGTGTAACGTCGTTAAATTTTTATGTTTTTCTTTTATAGCTGCCGACGAGCCTCATGACGTGTAAGTACTATATTAATCATTATGTTATTTATAAAACTTTTTGTGATTCCAAATATTATCTTTAACCGTATAGAGGATTAAATTACTTATTTATAATAAATGTAAAGTACAGAAATTATACATTGAAAATATTAATATAAAAATGTTAATTATTCTTATATTTTTTTTTACTATTTATCACCGTATTAATACAGGTAATTAAAATATTATTATGTTTTTTTTGTATAATTAAAGAATAATATTACTATATATTTTTAAATAATAAATATTCTTATTAATCCTATACAGCTATTATAAAATAAGCGCATTATAAACAGAATATTTAAAAATGTCTAGTTTCTTACTCTAAGAGAATAAGAAATGCCATAACTAACTTCTAAGCATTTTTATATCTCTTAGAAAGAAAAAGATTTTATATATAAAAATATATTCTAAATTTAGAAAAAAAATCACCACGATATTTTTAGAGGAACACTTCTATTTCTTACCAACAGAGAAATCTATTTTTGCACAATGATTGATGGCATCTTTGAGTAATATTTGGATGCACCCACGTTTTTCGTAATAAGTCTGATATATAAATTAAATTTTACAAATGCAACATATAGTTTTAACATTCCTCACAAGTCAAATAAATATTTATTTTTCTCAACAAACTCTTGTGATTCTTAAGTTTTTGCAACATTTAGTTAAATTTGAAGTATGTAGCGATCTTTATACATTTGGCAAACTTTTGCACTTTTCTGTGTGTTATTTTTCTTTCTGGAAACATTCTATAAGGTGTTTGAGATCATTTGATAGCGAGATATATGATTGGTCACGGCTGGTTTGGCAAAGGAACCATTCATTACTGGTGTAATTGGGTGTTGTTCACGTCTGGAAACAGTGTTACTTGAGCTTGCTGAAAAATCTTCTTTATTTATTATTTTTAAGTATTAATTTTAAACTTGTTTATCTTACCATATTTTTGGAGTATTTAAATTTTTTCAAACGTACATTTATCCACACTAAAACTGCTCACTTTTAGAAGTAACGTGTAACACTATAAAAATCAGCAATAAAAATCGAGTCTTTGCTGGCCAAATCTCATTGAATGCAATATAAATAACATAGCAAACAACTCATATGCGAAGGTCGAATAAAAAGCATATAGAAGGTATGCCAGGTTTAGTTTTATATGGTTAGTAGAAAGAGAAATACGGACAGTTACAAATGAGTGCAAGCAGCACAGTTGTCTGGAATATATCAAAATGCTTACTTTTGGATAGAAACAATTTTTCCGACTGAACAAAACAAAGATTCATTATTATGCTAACCTAAATATAGAAAGATAAAATCTTCTTGTTTTCCCCTTCTCTCTTAGAGTCTTCTTTCCCGTTTAAAGGAGTTCATTCAGTCGACTAGAAAATATTTAAAATTGAGGCCAAAGTTTTCTTTGATTTCATGATGAGCTTTTTTTCTAGCTCATTAAGTATACTTCCCCTCTCTTTTTCTGGCGTCACAACTCGCTTTATTCGAATATTTGTTCCGAGCCAAACCTATTTCTACTCTCCCTACCGTCAATCAAATATGACAGAATACATACTTGTTCTAAATTTTTATTATGTGTTTGCCTATGTACTCTAACCGTAACAAAGAAAGATACGGATTAAAAACTCGTGATGGGATAATCAGACTGTCTTTCAATTTTTCACCTAGGTACAAGTTACTCAGCGTTTTGGGTTTTCTTTCTTCCTATTTCTTAATTTCTCTCTTTAGAGTTGTTTATAGCATCAGTTCGTAAATAGTTTGATATAAATAGTTGTTGTTTCTCCCGCTGTCATTAGGATGACGTCACTTTAGAAGAGGGCACCTTGACTAATCCCCGAAAACTATAGTGTGCCTAAGATCAAAACTTGAATCACCTCCACAACTCAAAGAGAATATGGCTTTAACAGCGAAGAGGAAGTAGATTTGTGACAAATTGTTCTTAAAACTACCTTCGGAACTGTAATAATAACTATAGTAAATTAAAGTCCTTGAGCTAATTGAAGGTTACACAAATTGAGTATTGTTCTTATTTGTAGTCATTAGATAGTAATTTAAGTTCAACTGATCATTGTAAAACAGAGATATTGTTAGATGTATCAAGTAAGTCGTGTGGGTAGACTTTGGCTTTCTTCCCAAGAAATGATTTAGAAAATGTTGATGCGATTTGCTTTTCTTGGCTCCAAATATTATAATCCGGACACAATATGTTTTTTGTGTTTAGATGATGTTAAAATTTCTTTAAATAAATTTCATCTGCTGTTGGACTCCATCACAAAACTTTAATAGTAAACAGTAGCGTATCTCCTTTCTTAAGTGAAATCCTTTCTTTGTGGGCAATTTACAAGATAATACTTTTAAGTGAGTGCTATGGCTGTAAAAGGGAAGATAAATATTTCTATTTTTACGTTATCATCTTATTAAACCAAGAAGATCTTTTACTTTTTAAAACAATTACACAAAATTTCTTTTTATTACCATTATTTTTCGTTATCAGAAACTTTAGATAAAATGTGTAATAAGCAAAACGACAAAAATATTTAAAAATATAAAAATTTCTGCAATGTTATTCTAAAAGAAATTTTATATTTGTATTAAAGTAAAGTTTTTCTAGTCTACTTGGGTAAAGAATAATAAACATATCCTCGTTTCCGCTTCTAGTAGATAAGTTTTATTTTCTTCCTAAACCCATAAATGAATGAATGAACTGTAGTAAAATTTCAGATTCTCTTTTTAATGACTACTTATGTGCTTAAGTGAACTTACTTTCGGGGAAGAGCTACTGCAAAGTTCAAGGAAAAGTGTCAACGTTACAAAGAATTATTGAAAACTTTCACCCTTCTATAAATAAAACGGAAAACAAGTTGGCAAATTTATTAATAAGTCTGACATTAACGTTTGTTATAATTATAGAAGTATAATTGTTTATTCGATTTCGTTGCTCTAGTCGGATATAACGAATTCATTTTTCCCCCGTAAATACATTTAAACCTGCCAACAATATGCTTCGAAAATCATGCCAGGCAAAACATTCGATTCTAAAAAAGTTCGAGTTCAAATATAGTGGATACAATCCACCTGTGTTGCAAAAATAATCAAATCTGACGCCATCAGTCTAGGAAACATCTTTACTTCTGCATAACAAAACCCCAGGTTGACTCAAAAATAAATCCTGCACCTTTCTATACACTCCATCTCTAAATAAACTCGCTTAGAAAGGACTCATTAACCTTATCCTAAAAAGTCACGTGATGGCGATGTAACGGGATTTGGCAAGGGATGTTGTGTTTCTTCCCCATTTTACCCCTACATCGGCCTTATTTGGAAAGTGGGTTTAATTTATTACGTGTATCTGCACATCGAGCCCCCTGCATTGTGTAGTCACCTGCAACAGGCTGTGCTTCCCGAAGTTCGTATACTTAGCAGTTTGCTGTTAGTTTCAATAATCTTATATAGTTCATTGCGGATACGGAAATTTCTTTTTAAGAAATGTGGTAGTGTTAATATATTGGATTATTGAAGTGCCGCCCGTCGAAAGCCTGTTTAATGGGGACTCGGTAAGTTTTTTTAAACAAATATATTATAAAGTATTTTATTATTTAAGAAATATTTTAAGTAAATATGCCATAATTCGGGTTTGCAATTTTTCACCTTTCTCGAATCATGAATTCATTTTAAACTTTATTATTAAGGAATTTTAAATAAAATTTATATAATTGAGCATACAAATTCAAGAAATAATGCGCATATTTAACAGAAATATTCAAAACTAAATGTTAATAGTATAAAAGTGAATCAGGTCTTTATGAGATGAAGATGAATTTTTTTTTTTTACTTCATATCAAAAGGAGCTTGTTTAGAAATTTAGAATAAAGAATAAGATAATATCGTTAGTGTTTAGTTTTAGAAATATGCACAGAATAAATTTAAATTAGTATATTATATAACAGGCTATGTTAACTCTTGGCTGAAAATGTGAAATTCAGGCAAATTTAAATTAAAAAAATAATAATTAAAATTCCAATTAATACAAATTTTCAAGTTTTATAAGTAAAATTAATATAATATTCGCTTGCAATTTCAATATTAAATAATAATCCATTAAACTATCAATTCTCAAAATCAAAAATGTTTTAATTAGTCTATCTATGTTTGATAGGTGAAAAATATTAAAATTTACATTAAATTTAATTATTTTTAAATCAAATATCATGCCAAAATAAAAAACAATAAAATGTTAAGTTTGGAATTAATTAATTAATGTTTTCATTAAGATAGTTAACAGAGTCATATTTTTACAGATGGAATTTTGAACCACTCAAGATAATAATTACGATGCAATTGGAATTTTGTTAAGCTTGCACTATTCTATTTAATCAAAATTCGTTCTATTTTTAAAACCTTCTCTCAAAATAATGAATGAGTCACGAATGTCGTTATGTAAGATAAATGTCACCTTCTAATTTTACAGACCTTATGGCAAAATTTCATTGTATCAATTCTGTTGTATAATTCGAAAAGATAAAGTTAAAAAAAAACTGTTAAATATAATTTAAAACTAACATTTGGTTGTTCCACTTCGTCTCGATTGATGCGAGTGTATATAACTTATATGGAAAGCAGTAGGGCTGCACATGCTTAAGTATACTGACAACCACTTTAGATGTCCAGCTATTCTTGTATAAGGAATTACATCAGAAAATATAACCACCCCACCGTGAGTGACAAGCTGTGGTATAGTATTTACACCCATATTTCGGCATTGCTTTGACTATTTTTGACAGGATCCGATCTCTCGAGATTGAAAAACCATAGTGGTTGGTCTTAGTCCAATGTACACACACATTCCTATTCAGGCTAAAATGGGAAGAAGGCTAAACTAATAATTATAGTTGTAGGTGGTTCGGTTTTCCCTAATGGATGATCTAATGAAAAGTTTCTACTGATTTTACTGCATTACTTAAAGTCGAATT